TGATCGTAAGGCCTTGTAAGCCCTTTACCTGTGGTACCTCATTTGATCCTCAGAGCAGCCCTCTTGAGGTGGACAGTCCTTTCAACTTCCAGTTTACAGATGAGGAAACTGAGGCTCAGAGAGACATGGCCAGCCGAAGTCACTCCTTCTATTCCCTTGCCCATTCCAAAATCAGACCTCAGCAAGGAATGGACAAAGGTTTCATCTCACAGGCTAATGATTATTGGGTAGTGCCTGCATGTGTTCAGAGGGAGTCTGAGGTTGCATTCGGGCTCAGTGGGAAAGAGCACTGCAGTTGATTAGCAATGTCTGCTCTGGGCAGAGAAGTGGTAAATTGCAGAGTGTGCCCCATCATTTGCCCTCCTAGCTTTCAAGTCCTTCCTTCTGTTGACAGCGAAGTCTCTGCAGAGGTAACAGTTAAAATGAGCAGAGCAGAAAACAGGAGTGTCCGGTCCAAACCCCGGATTCATCTCCAAAGTCCCCATCTCTCCTCATTTCCCGCATTCTGTTACCAAAGACTTGGGTCATATTAAGCTGTGTAGAGAGAGGGTGGTCAAAAGACAAGACCTGCAAGTTTCTTGAGCATCTTCTCAGTGCCTGGCACCAAGCTAGATGCTCCTTGTGGTACACCACATCTGGGCATCAAACCAAAAGGCTATTATGACTATGTCCATTTTACAGATGAGCAAATTGAGGTTTCTAGACATTAAGTAGCTTGCTCCAGATCACACAGCTGTTAGTGTCAGTGCCATGCTGCACTCGAACTCAGGCACTGTCTATCACATCACACCAACGCTGAGGGAGAGTCAAGCCCATCCAGAGTCTTTTGCAGGCTGCGATTCCTTCCAGCCCTGTGGGCAGCCTGTGAGCTTAGCAGAGACAAGCCCCACCTGATTTCTCTGTGGCTCTCTTTCCTGCTTGGCTACAGGCTCAGTCTCCCCTGCGGCCCCGAAGCCCCTCCTCCCCCAGATCCGTCCGTTGAGGCCACCTCCACCTCACAGGGAGCTCTGTGGAGCTGCCGTGTGCTGGTGGCGAAGAAGAGGTTGTGAAGCATCTGTTCTTGGAGCCTGGGTCCTGGGGGGATCCTGGGCTGCCCTGCCCAGCTGGGGCCAGATGGAGGAGGCTCCCACGCCTCCAGCCTCTCTGAGGTGCCAGGCTGGTCCTCCTCACTCAGTGCTTAGGGCTGGAAATGGCTCACAGGCCTGCACTTGTAGGGAGACGACCAGACTTCCCTCCTGCAGCCTTGTGGCCAGAACCCTCAGGGCTTCCCCTCCCCTGTTCTTGCCGCCTCTCCCTGCTTTAGTCTTTTCATCTGCTTGACTGGGCGGAGGGGCATGGAGTTCTGCTGGGGCTGTCTCTGCGAGGGGCTGAGATGAGCTGAGATGCTCGGAAGGTAAGATGGGGCCGGGGATGTGGTAGGGCCTGGGAGGAGTGGGCCCAGCCTGGTCTGCTTCATGGCTGCCCAGCTCCTGAGAGGCCAGTGGATGGTCCCACTTCACCCAGTGTCTGAATCTGTGGGTACTGGGCAGACGCCTGCCCATCGCCCTACTCCTCCCTACCCTGGATCCACGTTCCCTGCTGACTCTCCCTGACCTCGTGAACTCTCACTCCTAGGAGATGGGTCTTGCTTGGGAAACTCTAGGACTTGTTTTTCTTTCTGGGGATGTTCCCTTTTGCCCTTCTCGATCGGCAGGGTGTAGGGGCGTGGAAACCGAAACGGGAACAAGCTGTGATTCCTGTCCTAAGTGTTCCAGGTTTTAATGGTCTTTGGCATCTTTGCATGCACTGAGCAAGATGATTTTGTGAGCTAAGAAGGTTCAAGGATTCCCTGGTCGATGTCTAAATTCACAGAGCGGGAAAGGAGGTGCTAAAAGAAGAGGGTGTGTGTCCACGGCAGGGCCCTCTTTGGACTTCCGGCTTCATCCCTCATTGCCCCGGGTCGGGTGTATGTGGATGTCTGGGGCCCTTGTGGTTCTGCATCCCTTCCTGCATCCCTTCCAGAGCCTGCGTGAAGGCCTCTGGTCTGCGAGCCCAGGAGGCCGCCCATAAGACATCTGCTTCGCCTCGATTTGCTCACTTGTCTGGTTGTTCCGTAAACATCTAGGGAGGCAGCAATTTCCAGGTTGGCTTTGAGGAGGGGCCCGGATGGGGGGGAGTCAGAAGGGAGATCTGTTGACCCAGTTTGGAAACCCCGGGGTCTCCTTGGGCAGTTGGCAATGATGGGTGTGTTGGAGGGGAATTGATGGTCACTCCCAGGTTTCTGGCCTGAAGAACTGAGTGGTGGTGATGGTGGTATCCTAAACCAAGACAGCAAAATCAAGCAAGCCAGCGTGGAGGGGAAGACAAGGAGTTCAGTCTGGGACAGGCTGTATTTGAGCAGTGGAGACGGGGGCCGCCCAGGGGAGCCAGGCAGCAGAAGGCAGAAGGAATCAGAAGCTCAGGCAGACCTGGGCTGGGAGAGAGCCGGGAAGCTGCCGGCCTCGACACTGCAGCTGAGAGCAGAGTGAGGATGAGATGGTCTGAAGTATTTGGGGCGAGAAGGCCAGCAGGATTGGAGTCTTGGGGGACCCAGCATCCCAGGGCAGGTGCGGGAAGAATCCACCCACCTCCAGCACCAAAGGAGACCAGGAATGGATGGTCAGAGCCCAGGGAGCCAGAGGGGCTGGAGGAGGACCTGAGGGCTCAGAGTCAGGAACTCCTCGGTGGAGGAGTTACCTGGAAGACTGATGTGACCAACAGCGTCAGATGCAGCTGAGAACTGGAAACTCTGGGATGGACTTAGTGACACAGATGCTGATGTGGTGTTGGCGTGGGGTTGGAGGAGCCAGATTGAAGCAGACTAAGGGTGCTGAAAGGGGTGCTGTGAGCACTTCTTAAACAAGTGCAGAGAAAAGGTAAAGAGTCTGAGGAGAAGAATCCGGCAGAGCAGGGGAGAGATGATGGAGGAAGGGGTGGGCCTGGACAACCCCATGGGACCCAACCTGCCGTTGCCTGGGACACCCTTCTCCAATTGAAATCTGAATAGACCCCAACCTGTAGATGTTAGCAGAGCTGCTCTGGCTGAAGCAGTGGGTGGGGGGGCTCCTGGGTTCTGCCTGCCTGGGCTCCCCTCACCCTCCAAGGAGCCTCACAGTTGCCCTGAGCTCCTGGAACCCACTGGCCTCAGTCCCCTTCGTTTTAGAGATGAGGACGGGCTGGCCAAAGCCACAGAGAGAATCTGGTGGCAGAGTCAGGAGCTTCAGCTTCTCCCCCTCCAGCACCTCATCCACAGTGTCTGACTGTGCATTTATTTATTCAACAAACATTGAGTGCCTACTGCATGCTAGGCGCTGGGCCTGTCGGTGTGGGGCGGGGCGGTGAGGGCAGAGGGGAATTCAGAGACGTGCAGGAACTGCTTCTGACCAGCCCAGAATACCCATGACCATACCCTGGAGTCCTCAGGAGCTGGATGCACAAAGCCCTGTCCTGGGGTGTCGGCCCCTATTAGTGCAGATGGGCGGGGCTCCGAAGGGCCTGGCTTGAGCCCAGAAGGTTCTGGAAAGTCCTCTGCACTCAGCAGCCCCAGCCTTCTCCACTGCCGGCTGCTCCCAGGAGTGAGGGCACAGCCACCCTGACGCTCTGTGGGGCAGGCATCCCTGGGCTCCGACCTGCTCCCCCTGTGGCAGCCTTCCCACCTGGCCTTGCGCTGGGGCTTTGCCACCTGATTATGCCACAACAGCAGCCATGGTGACAACAGTAACAGTAACTCATTGAGCTTGTCCTATCTGTCAGAAAGCTTATCACTCTTGACCTATGCCCTCCTCGGTACCCACGCAGCCAGCAGCCAGGCTGGGCTCCCCCGCCCCCTGAACACCACTCTGCACAGTAAACCCATTGCCACCTTGCCCTCCCCGGCCCACCTGGGGATGATCGCTCCCAGACGGGGGGGCCAGCTCTCCCCACCCCGGCTACAGCAGCCCTTTGATGTTCAAACAATTGACAGTTGGGATTTCGACTATACGCAAGAGAGGCCCCCAACCCCACGATTCGGGACACGTAACCAATGGCGCAAATTTGAACAGACACTGGTGAGCGGGCCGAAGGGAGATGACAAGTAGAGGGAGGCTAAGGTGGGGGCCCTGATGAACTCACACAGACTCACAGTCTCGCCTCACCACGGAGAAGGGATGAGGAGGTTACGCACGTCCTCCCAAACTGCAGCAAATGATGGTGGCTTGAGGGGGTTCAGGGGACATCATGGGAGGAAGCAGGTGGCTGCCAGGGGGAGAGGTGAAGGCGACTCTGGGGTAAGGGTGGCAGCATGAGTCGGTGAAGGCGGGGCTGATGACGACTAGGGGAGCGAGCCCTAGGGGCTGCGACCTTGAGCCCCGGGGTACACCTGTCTGTGTCCGTCGTCTAGATGCGTGGGCATCAGGGAGCCATGAGAAGAATGTTACGGGCAAAATCATCTATGGCTTCATTAGATGGAAATGAATTAGTAAATGAGGGGCTGCATGGTGGGGCTACTCCAGGAAGGGTTTTCTAGGACACTGAACTCCAAGGAGTGTGTTCTGTGGAGCACCCATCCCGTGAGACATTCCTTGTGGTCAACTAGATTTGGGAAGATCACTGGGCTTTCTCTTTCCTATGGAGCCTCACAACACAGCACCATATTAAAGGCTCTGAAAAGTCCAGCAAAATCTACTTGACTTGTCTCACTCAGCGTTTCCCACACTCACTTGACCGTGGAATTAAAAAAAATAGTAACCCCATTAATACCCCTTGGAGGAACCCTGAACCACACTTTGGGAAGTGCTCGTACAGAGGGATTCGCAAAGTGAGATGTCTCTTGCAGATGTCAGGAGTCTTCTGTGTTGCCCTCCCCCCATCCGTCATATCACATCACACCCTGATCAGACCCCTGGAGCTCTCTGGCCAAACATCCTAGAGACATTTTCTGCAGTCCTGACTCTGCCCTCACCTGGCCCTGGTTCATGGGAAGATGTGGGGAGGAGACTTACAGGGGCAGGGGCGTTTGAAGGACATGTAATCCTTGGAGCAGAACAGCGGAGCCAGCCTGCCCACGTGCACAGCTCTGACTTCTCGCAGGGAAGGACCCTCCGCTCACCTGCAGAGACACAAACAGGCAGGTGATGGGGGCGTCCATACAGCACCTACTGACCCTGCAGGGCGCTCATGTACACTGGGCTGTCAACCTCTGGGGAGAGGATGGTGACTTTGAGAGCATGGGCCTAGTCTGAGTGGGGGCCTGGAGGGCTCTGGGCTGCAGCATATGGGGGTTCTGGGCAGGGGTGGCACAAATGTGTGCTAGGTTCTCAGTAAGTGGAAGGGGGGAATCTCTCTCCTGGGTGGACCCTTGAGAATCTTGTAACTGTCAGGGCTGGAAAGACCCTTAAAGATCAGTTCAATGTCCTCATTTCACAGAAGGGGAAACTGAGAACTGGAGAGGGTGAGGGACTAGTTTAAGGTCCCACAGCTGGCTTTGGAAGGGAATTCATAGATGCCTAGCTCAAACCTTATCATCATCATCATCATCACAACAGTTTTAAGAGGAAGATGCTCTTCTCTTTTCATTCTCATTTTATAGATAAGGCAGTTGAGGCTCAGAGAGGTTATGAAGCTTTCCAGGGTCACACAGCTTCTAATTACAGGCTGGGACTAGAACCCAGGTCTGTTTGACTCCAAAGCCCACACTGTCAGCCAGCACACTCCCTTAAAAGGCACCTAATATATTAAATTACCAATTCAGAAATAAGGACCTAGAGAATGAAACTGTCTCTTCCCCAATTCCCCCTGTACCCCCAAGTGAACACCCAGGTGTCAGGATGTCTGTTCAGCAAAGGACTGCCAGGTTACTCTAACACCCATTTGCAATGGAGGAGACATTTTCAGAAAGTAATCCATCTTCCCATGCTGCTGGAGATCTGAACTGATTCAGTCTCTCCTGGTATGTCCCCAGGTGACAGGAGGCTATGGGAATATTAGGGAGTTACAGTTCTTATTTCTAGGGAGTGCGGTCACTTCACTTGCAGAAACCAAACTGCACCTTTGGATGGATGTGGAGCCGAGCAGGTACTTGCAGGGGAAGCTGTCAGTCACAAGCCAATGGGAGAAGAGCCTGGCCCCTCTAGGTCCCAGGGGACATTCGGCTTCCCTGATCCTGGGGATGATATCATTGTGGACAGAACTTTTCTGTAAGAGGCGGGTCCAGAGGTCCCACCCTTTTCTCCTCCAGGGATCCCTTTTATCATATTTTTTTTTTCTCCAAATGGGTCCCCTGTTTTGACGGGGCCAATTGGCCAAACTACACTAATAACTGATTATTCTATTTAACAAACAAATCAAACACCTATCTTTGGAGAGCCTGAGCTCAGAAGTCCGATTCCTGAGTGCTAATATCAACTCTGCCACTTCCTGGCAGTGTGACTTTGGACAGAGCACTTCACCTCTCTGAGGTGCAGTGTCTTCCTGGGGAAAGCAGGGTAAGGACACTTAACCTGCCGTGAGGACGGGGGTTATGTACGGAAAGCCCATGGCAGGAGGTGTGTGGCTGCAAAACGTTCATTCTGCTGCCTGAGGGGCGTGAGAGGGAGGGGGCTGTGACTGCTGCTGACCTGGGAATCCCTCTTCAGGTGGCTTCTTCCAGCTCAGCCTGTCCTGGTGTGAACCCCAGGCTGGCCTGACACCCACTCCCAGTCCCCATAGAAACCCAGTCAAGAGTTCCGATGGGGGAAGTGAAGGTAGGATGTGATCTCCCCAGGCCTGGTAGAACCTGCGTGGCAGGCTGCTTGGGGAACTGTGATTTCACACCAGAAAACTCACAGAGCATCTCAGGGCCTGGGATCTGTGCTTTCTAAAAATACATGTGTGTACGTGTGTCTGTGTCTGTGTTCATTTCTGCGGGTGTGCTGGTGTGCACTGTGGCCGCGTGTGAGTCTGGAGGAGGATGTAAGTCAGGTCATCTCTTGTGCTTCTTCCAGAGAGGTCTTTCTTAAAGGCAAAATGGATTATGTCACTTGATGAAAAGTCTTCCACAGCCTTCCGTGCCCTCAGGAAAATGTCCTGGCTTCCGCGCCAACCTCCACAGTTCCAGGGCTGTTTCCCTCTCTAGTGAGTTGGCATAGTGTGGGCACTTAGTAAATGCACGCTGAATGTACACTTACTGTAAGGCTATCCTGGTGGCACCTGATGCCATGGAGGGTGCTGACCAGCTCCAACACTTCAAGCAGTTGTCCCCAAGGTCCTGCTTCTCCTAGAGGCCCCCTGTACCCCCTCTTTCCTCCCACTGGGCCTTGTGACACTGAGATGAAGGCTGGGGTTTTGTAGGGTGTGGGGAGGTGAGAGATGACCTCCCAGGGCAGGGGGCACCAAAAACCCTTGCGTTACGTATTGTTTTCCATGGTCAGTTTGGGTGTTTGGTGGACAGCGTGTTAGGTTCCCAGGTGGCCAGAAGGCTGGCAGGGGGCCGGCAGGTTTGGCCATGGGTCAGGTAGACATTTTCGTATGTGGAGATGTTCTGGGCACGCCGGCTTTCAGGGTGGCTCATGTTCACCAAACACCTGCGTGTGCCAGTTAAGATCACCGAAATTACTGCAACAGGTGCCCCGAAGTGGGTAACAGTTTCATTTTGCAAATGAGAAAACTCATAGGCTCCGTGACATGATAACCCACCCGAAGTCACCCAGAGAGAAGAGGTGGAGGAGGAGCAATGCAGGGACGGAATCTGTCACCGCCCCCCTCCAGTGCCCCTTGGTTACTGCAGGGCCACCCCACAGAGATCTGACACCAGGTCACGTCTCCCCCCCCCCACGCCCGCCTCACTCAGCACCCAGCATCTGAGGCGAGGCGTGTCCCTGCCTGTGACTCATCTCCGACTGGATTGTCTGGCTGGAAACTGGAGGGCGGGCCGGCGGGCTGCGGTATTCCAGGTTCTGAAGTGGCTGAATGGTGGGCGGCGAGTCCACGTCAATCCCACTTTGCTTCAGGTCCCTGCTCCCGGAATACCTCCTTTCTGTAGCCACTGCGATACTCTGATCTCGATCAATGAGCCTGTGGTTAGTGGACTGGCGCCGTATCCCTGGCGGAGGCGGCCAGGTAACAGCGGGGACAGGACGGTCAGCGCATGCGCGGCAGAGGCACCCAGACTGGAGGGTTGAGCTTCACCGGGGTCCACGGCAGACGGGGCAGGGCCGCGCAGGGGCTGGCCTCCGGGATGGGCCACGTCTATGCAGCGCCTGCTCAGCCCATTGGATCTCAAAACAAATCCCCATTTTACAGTTGACACAGAAAGGAGTCTCAGAAATGAGGGAGGCGGGCCTTTAGTCTGAGACCCAGCTGATGGTTTCCCTAATGGAGAAAAACATTCCTTGGCAAGTGCGGGTAGATGTCATTACAGGCATACCTCGGAGATATTGCGGTTTGGTGGTCGCGAGGCTCCGGACCACCGCAATACAGTGAGTCACACGATTTTTTTGGTGTCCCAGTGCATATCAAAGTTAGGTTCACCCTATACTGTAGTCTGTTAGGTTTGCAGTAGACATTTTTTCAAAAAAACAATGTACATACCTTAATTTAAAAATACTTTATTGGGACTTCCCTGCCGGCCCAGTTAAGACTCCCTGTTCCCAATGCAGGGGGTTCGAGTTCGAGCCCTGGTCTGGGAACTAAGATCCCGCATGCCGCATGGCGTGGCCAAAAAAAAAAAAAGAAAAAAAACCTTTATTGCTAAAAAATGCTAACCATCATCTGAGCCTTCAGTGAGTGGTAATCTTTTTGTGACAGTAACATCAAAAATCACTGGTCACAGATCACCACAGCAAATACAACAGCAATGAAAAAGTTTGAAATGTTGTGAGAATCACCAAAATGTGACATAAGGGACATGAAGTGGGCAAATACAGTTGGAAAAGTGGCATGGATAAGACTTGCTTGACGCAAGGTTGCTCCAAAACTTCAGTTGGTAAAAACAAGCAATATCTATGAAGAGCAATAAAACGAGGTATGCCTGTAAACGTTTGTCATGTGATTAAATGAAGAAGCAAATGAAAAAGAGTGAGAGGACGGTGGCAGAGAGGCTGGCAGAGGACACGGAGGTTTGCAAACAAGTAACTTGGTCCTGATGTTAGAAAAGGGATCCAAGTGTGTGACAGCCTCTGCAGCAAGGAGGCCTTCTGTCCCCATGCAACATCTGGCCACATGTGTGCTACACTGGGTTGGTCAGGAAATGCGTGGAGGTTACTGGGTCTTCAGGTTGCCTTGATTTACCTGGAGTAGTCCTCTACTGGATCAGCTGCCTTCCCCGCTGCCACCAAGGCCCAACTTCTAAGACTTGACATACTGACTAACTACATAAACCGGTTCATCTGCAAATCAGCAAATAGGTCCTGACCAAGGGTGTAGAGAAGCCTGATTCAGGGGCCAGAAAACACCAAAGAGGGCATAGAAAAGTATTATTACAGTGGTGAAACATGGGATGTGACCCCAGTGTCCAATAAGAGAGGAGAGGCTGAGAAAATTTTGGCATACGCTTATAATGGAATATTGTAGAGCCATGGAATCATGTTTTTAAAGAAATTTTAATAACATAAAAGACTTTCGGTATACTGTTAAGAGGGGGGAAAAACCCCACCAGGTAAGCAGGTTCTAGAACTCTGCCTACAATATGATCCTTATTTTGTAAGGAAAAAAAAAAAAAACTAGAGAAAATATTCACACATAGAAAAAGATGAAAAGGAAATAGACTAAAATATCCAGTCACGCACTCTCTGGGCAGTGGTGGGATTGAGGAGGCTTTTTATGTTCTTTTATTTTTTAAGAATGATTTTCCAAATTTTCTTCAATGAACATGTATTACTTTTATAATCTGAAAAATCATTAAAATGAAGATTTGAAAACACCTTTTATGCTAACGAAGAAAAATGAATAAATCAGTGATAGTTAACTCATTGGAAGTTTTAAACACTAATTTAATTGCCTTTGAACATGCCATTTTTTTATTGCCAAAATTTAAAAAAGTTAACTTGTCTTTGAACTTACTCATAAGGAGCTTTATTAACATGTTAGGAAAATAATCTCCACTGGTTTTAACCTTCATCACATTTTCCCTGGCGCTTGAGCGGGTCCTATTTGCCAGATTTTTGAGAGAACAGTTTCTGCCATGAACCTTAAGGTTTATCTTCAGGCAAACTAGACACTTGGCAATAATAATAACAATAATAGGCCTTATGTTTGTAAAACACTTTCTAATTTGCGAAGCATACGAAGTGCTGGTTATTCTAGTCTCTGGGGATATGAGAGTGAGCAAAATGGTTAAAAGTCCCTGCCTTTGGGGAGTTTACATTATATTGATGAGGGCAGACAATAAACAAATGAGTAAGATATATAAATGTTGGGGGTGATAAGCGCTATGGAGAAAAATGGAGAGAAGAGAGATAGGGAATAAATGTGGGGGGAGCTGCTCTTTTAAATCAGTTTGATACTGTTTGAATAGAAAAAAAATGAAGACGTCTCTAAAAATTCTATAGCCCATGGGCAATTAACACATAAAGATACAATGATTGAAGATCTCCATTGAGGAAGCATTCCATTAACTAATTACATATAGTCTAAGATGCAATGTGCTAATTATCAATTTTACAAACTCATAAAATTATGATGAGTCATAGTGATGTTTTAAGTTTTCTATACTTAGCAAAGTTAGTCCTTAACCTTTCTAAGCCTCAGTATTCTCATCTATAAAATACGGGCAATTATAGTACTTAGATTAGAGGGCTGTCCTCAGACTCCAGAGAGAAAATACTTATGCTTGGGAAAGAGCATGCATTCAGTGCATGTTCATAATGCAGACATAGCAAGGCCATTGCGAGGGGTCCATTTGTCACTGCCACGTGTTTCCTGTATATTGTTTCTCCAGTCCTCACAACTATACTGGGAGATGTAGACTATTTGTTCCCCTTTTCAAGAGGAAATTGAGGCTCTGAAAGGTAAATCTCCTGCCCAGAATCACAAGCCATAAACCCAGGCAGTCCAGCTCCAAGAAGCTGTGCTCTCAGCCACAACTGTACTTTGTGCCAGGGGGATTCAGAAGCCCTCCTGGCTTCAGTTTCTCCCTTTAGGAGGCTGAGAGCTGGCTGCCACGTTCTCGTCCCTTACGCTGTGCCGTGAGCACTTCCAGGGCGAAGGCTTCAGGTAATAGGCGTCTGAGTGTGTCTAACTGATTATTCCCCAAGGCTGAAGGAGGTGCCCGTATCCCCATCACGTTGCTGCCTGGCTGTACTCCACTCTGTGAACCAGGTGACACAAACCTCCTAAATTAGTTTCTGATTAACTCCTTTGGGAAGAAGAGGTGAGGATTATGGAAGATGCTGGGATGTGACACCCTGGTGGGTGAATGGGGGAGGGGTGGGAGTAGGCTACAGAGGAAGAAGACGACAGAGGGGGTTTTTGTGTAGAAACAGCCCCCAGGAGGCAGCCCATTCTGCCTGTCTCACTAGGTCCCCACCAGGCAGCATGTGGACAGACCCCCCCCATCCCCCCGTTCTCACAGCTGGGGCACAGGTGAGCAGGACTAACGCAGGTGTCCACAAGCTGGACACTTGTTTTCTTCCCGACAATGCTCCTGGTTACCTACACCCTCCATGCCACCCCAAGGATTCCAGCATCCTCTCCCAGGCCTTGGGCCTCATTGGTTCTGCCCTGGGTCTGAAGCCTCAGCTGCACAGACTGGGCAGATCTCTTCCTGGGGCCCTTCCAGCTCTGAACTTCTAACCTCTCAGTCAGCCACAGGCTTCATTTCCTCTCCAAGGGCTATCATTTCTGGTGCCTCGTGGCTCAGTCGCCTGGATGAACACACCACGGTCAGCGCAGGTTCAGGGTTGGGACCCCTCTGACTCCCCGCTGTCTCCTTGCCCTGGTGGCTGCTCCCCCTGCGGCTCTTCACTGCCTGTCTGAACTGTCACCACTGGAACACCCAAGCCACCTGACTGTCTACTGTCTGATTGCTCCGCAGGGAAAGCAGTCCTCCCCAGGCCCCGTCCCCAGAGTGGAGGGAGGTGTGAATTCCCTCGTACAGGGTGTGAGCAGCGGACATCCGTCAAGGGCAGAAGAAAGAGCTGATCAGATACGGTCATTCCCAACCTGGATGGAGATGACAGGTAGGGAGGCGAGCACCGCTGGGAAGCAGAGCGCCGAGGGAGGAGGGAACAGCTGAGAAAGGGCAGGCCCTAAAGAGAGGGATTTGCACTGCAGTTACATGTCAACAAGCCCTTGGGGGATTCAAAGGCCTCCTTGGAGGGGGGCTTGGGGGGTTGGGAGGGGGTCGTATCGCCGCCACCTCGGCAACTCGCTCTGCCTCAGCATCCACTGGTGCTGCGCGCTTCACAGAATGACACCTGTAGTCAACCTGAACTGAGCGATGGCTGAGTGCCAAGCACCATGCTAGGCCCCTACAAGCACCACTTCACCTCCCAACCCACCTTCCCCATGTTTCAGATGGGGAAACTGAGGCTCAGAGAGGTTAAGTATCTTGCCTAACATTACACGGCTAGGAAGTCTTCCAAGCCCACCCTCTGGTTCCAAAGCCCTTAAACACTCTGCTCACCACAGAATCCTACCTACTTGTCAGCGGAGGCAATTGAGGCACAGGGAGGTGAAGCCACTTGTTCCAGTAGAGCAGTCAGGATGTTTGAGGAGAGTCAGGAGGGGCTTGCTCAAGGCAGGTGCCCGTGGACTGTGTGACTCAAGACCAAGGACCAAGCTCCTGGAGCCCCCGCCGCTCACACCTGTCACTGGTGCCCTCCCCTTCCCAGCCTGGGCCTGGCCATCTCCGCTGGCACGGCGCGTGGGATCAGGAGGGCAGCCCTGGGTCCTCCGCGCGCCAGCCTCAGGACCGCCGGGCCGATGGGGAGAGGGGGAGGGTCGTGCGAGTCTGCCGTGGGTCTGGTGGGCACTACCCAACTTCCGAGAGCGATTAGGGAGAGGCGGCTGTACCGCTTGGCGCTGCGCAGCCAGCCAGAGCAGCCGCCTCGGACTCAGCCTCGAGTCCCGCTTACCGCGCCAGGGAAAGTCGGCCCCGGAGCTGGAGAAGGTGCGGCGGGGACACCACCTCTCCCACCGATGGTGCTGAGACAGGCCAGCGTGGTAGGCATCGAAGCGGGGGCACGGCCCTGGTGGCCCGCCCGTCGGAGGGTCAAACTTCCCGGCTCGAGGGTCGGGGGTGGGTTCTAGCTTCAAACTCCACAAAGCCCAGAGCCCCTTTCCTCTCCTACCCCGACCAAAAGTGCGTCCTAGTTTACCCTTCTTGGGTGGGTTGTTCAGGGGTCCGCGAAACCGAGGGCGCGGGGTCGTGAAGACTGTCTTATGCTCCCTCCGTGGGGTGGATGTTTGTTTGGGACTCAAGTCGGGCAAGAACCGGGAGACCTCTCCGTCCCTGCGGCCCGATGGCATGCTCAGGGGCAGCCACGGCCCGCGCGAGTCCCGGTGGCCCGCCCGGGGGCGCGGGGGTCGGGGCCGGGGTCCGCGGGAGAGCGGGGATCCTGTTCGGAGCGCGCCGCGGATCCGCCGCGGACCGCGCTGAGCGACCCCGGGTGTGTGCTTGCGCCGGGGCCGCAGCAGAGCGCGGGGGAGGGGGCCGGGACCCCCTCCCCGCCCCTCCCCAGCGCCGCCCCCGGCCCCACGCCCCTTACTCGGCTTGGCTGCCTCGCTCCGCTCCGTGCGCCGCACTGCCGGCTCCAGCTTCGGCTCCAGCTCAGGTTCCCGCTCTGGCTCCGCTCCCGCTCCGGTTCCCGCTTGGATGCCGCTGCGCTCGGACTCGGGCTCCGGCGTCGCGGGGGGCGCGCCGCTCCGCCTCGGCCTGCTCGGCGCGCAGGGGCGTGGCGGGGCGGGGCCCTGCCGAGCCCACCGGGTCCCGAGATCCCCGGCCGAGGCGGCGGCGGTGGCGGCGGCTTCCCGGCTTCCCGGCTTCCCGGCTTCCCGGCCCTGCCTCAGCCCCGCCCGGCCGCCCGCCGGCCCAGCACCGCCGCCCACGCCACGGCCGCCCGCTCCCGCCGCCCTGCGCCGCGGCTCCGGGGCCTCAGCAGCGCTGGGCCGCCGCCCGGGTCATTCCTGAGCTGGGGGGACGCGGCGGAGGGGGAGGGCCGAGCCGCGCCCCTCTGCGCACTGCCAGCCCGACACCCACACCGCGGCAGGCGGGGCGGCGCGGCGAGGAGGCCGAGAGATGCAGGGAGGCCGGCGTGCCAGCCAGACGTGTGAGGACAGACGGACAGGCGTGTGTAGAGAGTGACATACAGATAGGCGGGAGCAGAGGCGCAGACTCAGACATGTGCAGAGAAGGGCAGACAAACGATATGTGCAGGGCAGGACAGCCAGACAGGTTGTTCAGAGGCAAGCCTGGGCATCCGGGCAGGGGACCCCTGTCACGGCCACTGGGAGGGGCAGACGAGCCTGGCAGAGCCTCCTGCTCCCAGTTGCCGCGCGGTGAGTTCTAGGGTGTTCGGGGATGTCAGATAGGCCCGGCTGAAGCCTTCCTCTCCTGAGGGACCAGCTTGCCTATTTCCTTTACTCCTGGCCTGATCCTATGCCCTGTGTATCCCCCTATCCCCAAACCTTGGGCATAGAGCTTGACCCTGGCAGATGCATGCCTGCCTCAAGGGGTGCCTGGCTCAGGGAGGGGCTCCTGGCTTACGGAGGCACTGTCCCCACTCTCCTTTGGGGCCTTGGACAAGCCCAGCCCCATCCGCCAGACCTCCCTTTCTTTATTACACTAGAGCTCCGGTTTATTGCGCTCTTGCTAGTCCTGGTGCTTTCCAGTTATTTGTGGAATCATTTATTTAATCTCCCCTACTTAACTGGGAGTCCCAGGAGGGAGACCCTTGGGGGCCTGCACAGAGCATGCGCTCTAAATGTGATGAATGAACTGATGAAATACTTAGTTGGTAATTCTCCCACCCCCCATTTTGTCGGTGGCAGCTAATAAGTGGTTGTCAGAAATAAAGCACGAGGATAAGGAGCTGCACATACTGATGATAAAACTTGGGGAAGGGGAGGAGCCATAGGGATGGCGTGGAAGAGAAGCCAGGCAGACAGTGGCACTGCAGGGAGGGTGGGAGCAGAGCAGGCTCTGGTGGAGAAAACAAACCTCACTCCAGCCCACCTCTGACAGTCACCATGTCTTGGGCTTCCCTGGGTGGAGGCAGAGAGACCTGCATGGTCTAGAGCCTTGGTGGGTAAGGACACTTCCCAGCCCCCTTTGGTAACTGTTCATTCTGGGCTCTGCCTCCTGCACTGCCTACCCCATCCCCCAGACTGAGGGGGGTGGAGGGACCCAGGCTGAGGGATTCCAGCTCCATCTGGGGCCATCGGGAGGCATGTGTGCTTTGTGGGGCATGGGGCCAGCATAAAGGGAAACATTTCTGAGTCCTAAGAAATGGAACCTGAGGGGCCCTTTGTCCAACCCCATGCATTTATTTTATGGACGAAAAAATAAAGGACTGGAGAAAGCAGGGGCAGCCCAGGGCTAGACAGCTAGGATTGGAGGCTCTAGGACTCGCAGGCCAGGGCTGTGCCCCCCTGTGCAACCCTCCTAAAAGTGACCTTGACCTTCCTAAGCAGACACCTGCTGATCTGTGCAGGATGGATATACTGGTTGTTGAGTGGTTTTACCTGTAGTCTGTCCCCTTTGGCAAGACTGTGTGTATGTGTATTTTGTGGCACGGCCTTGTGGAAGGCTCTAGCTGATAAAGAGCTCATCCCCCTCTACCCTCTGTTTGAGCATCGCTGGGCTGGCAAATCTGGCTTGTTCTTCACACTGGAGCCCGGAATGGGAACTGGTTTCCACTGGGCATGGTGGTGTTGGGGTCTAGGTTTCGGGAGTTGGCTTATATTGATTTGCCTGTCTATACATCCATAAACAGGACACTGGAGAAACATAAAAAGGTGAAAAAAGAACAGAAAAGCTGGTCACTGTTAATGTTGAGGTTTCTTTTTCTTTCTTTTCAATCTCACATCTGTATGAGTGTCCCTAATGGAGTGAGCTTGCTAACTCTCTCCTCTTCTGTGTCACACTTCTCATGGCTTGCATGAGATGGCTGTACTGTATTTTATTTAATCAATTCTCTACTGCTGGGCATTCAGTTTTGAGTTTTTCACACTTCTGGACAGCACCACAATGAACATCCTCATGGGTAAGTTTGTGCATGCCTGTGATTATTCTGGATTTCGGTGGGTATGTCCATATAGTTTTGAAGCTTTTTTCTGTATGGGGTCAGACTTGCAGGAGGGACATTTCCTGGGCACCAGGGAAGCACAGTGATATTTAGTGTCTGCTACACCAAAGGGCGGGGTAGGGAGGCTGGAGGGAGGAGCCTGGGAGAGGTTATGCAGTGCCATCTGAGGACAGTGAGGTGCCAGGCTGTGGGGACCTGCCCTAGAGTGTGCTCTGTAATACCCCTGTCACTCATAGGTATGGTCAACTTATCAAGTCTATTGTTGGGGGGAATCTTCTGATACTAAGGGTGGAGGAGGGAAGGAGGAAGGGCCATCAGCATGGTCTGGCCTCTGGGTGGGATATCTGTCTGAAAAACCCAGCACAGGGAATTCCCTGGCGGTCCAGTGATTAGGACTCTGCGCTTTCACTACCAAGGGTGCAGGTTCAGTCCCTGGTTGGGGAACTAAGATCCCGCAAGCCGCGCGGCAATCAGACAATCCCATCACACCCTTCAGGAAGGTTACCTTGTACTAGTATATCCCTTATACAGAATTATGTCAAAAGCATCTTCCCAGCCTTGAATTACATTACAGAGGGCCCGGCTCTCCAGATTGCCTTGGCTTTGGGGGTGGGGAGTACACCATGCTCTAAAAAGAGAACGAGGTGAGGGAGGAAAATCTAACCCACCAGCTTTAAAAAGATTTTTCCTCTTTCCCTCTGATTTTTGCTAATGGTCCCCTTGAACATGTTAAGGGGGATGAAGGAAGAGAAGAGGGCTTGGTTCTTGCTTGGTGGCAGGTGGGGTCAGGGACCAGAGCCCTCCCAAGGCCAACAAGCTCTGAGGTGGTGCTGAAGTAGAGAGAGGAAGCTGGGGGCAGGGAAGCACCTGTAAAACCTGAGGCAGCCCCTTCTGGAGTTGCTGTCTGCTGAGAGCATGGAGGGTTTTGTGCTCTCATCCCACTTTACGGATGAGGAGACTGAGACCCACCGAATTTAAGTGACTTTCCAGAGATTCACACCTGGTTAAGCCACTCTAGGTAAGATGATGAAACACTTTTAAAACAGGCAGAAAAGATTACCAGGTGTCCTTCGAATTGACTATTCGGTGTTACTCGGCACATGGTTGTCTGTTTCTACAGGAGTTTGTAACTTTCATGGTCTCTAAGCTGTTTTATTATTTTGGAAGTTGTAGAAAACTGTGATGGGAAATTGTTCTTGTCCATTAAGATGCAAATACACTTTATCAGGTGAAGTCAATTGAGATCTTGTAGAGAGGGGGCTAAAAGCTATACTTGTGGCTGTGCTTCGGATTCTCCTTTAAATTGTGTATAATGTCTTATTTTTCCCTAAATAATTAATCCGTTAAATGAAATCTTTGACATGTGTTGTTTATTTTATATTTGTATAACATTCATGATTTTATCCTTTAAAAAATGTATCTTTTAACAGTAGTAAGCTGGGGACTGCATCCACATGGGCCTGTTTTACGTAAGACCTTAGCCTTTCATTGGAGGCATCAGGCCCAAGGCCCTCAGAAGAGACGGAAATGAGTGCGGGCTGGGTCAGTCCTACAGGGCTTTCTGGAAGACGGAGAGGGTGGGGTTTGAGGGGTGGGGAAGGATTTAGAGAGGGACACCTGAAGACAGAAGGCTTTCCAGGATGGAGGGCGGGGCCTGGGGTGGAGAAGGAGTATGGAGGCTGGTGAAGAGGCCTGTCTGGATGAAGGGTGGGCTCTGGGTTGCCAGGTGCCAGACAGAGGATGGAGGTGGGATTCCAGGTAGAGGAGACTGTACCTGATGCTGTAGGCAGCGGGGAGCCACCATAGGCTCTTGAGGGAGGAGGGGACTTAAAGAAATGGACCTGTTAAGAAGGCTGGTCTCTGGGTTCCTAAACTCTTCTGGGCACTGAATAGGCCCCAAACACCCTTTCTCCCGGGTGGAGGGCTGGGGCAGGCTGCCCCTCGCTGTCTCCTGTTAGGAGGGAAGCCACCCTTCCAGGGCCCTGAGAGAAGGCCCCAGGTAATGAGTGTGAAAGTCAGCCCCTCCTCTCTTATCTGCCGAGGCCCATCTCGGGGAGCCTATTTCTGGGCCTGCTTGAAGATTTGTACTCAGGGTAGAGCTCATTTCAGGGTCAGCTGGCTGCGGGGTGAGCAGGGTCTGCACGCACACCTTTCTGCTGCTGTTCCCAGCCAGTCATGATACGTCGTCCTCCCAGTGACCATACCCTCCGTCAGCCACTCTACGTGCATTATTCAATTCCGTCCTTACGGTATCCTGTGGAGGGGGACGATATTTTCTCCATTTTTTTTTTTAATTGTGCAGGAAGGAGGTTTATGGAGGCCGAGTAACTTGTTCAAGTTCACATGGCTAATTAGGGGCAGAACCCAGGTTTGCACCCAAGCCTGCTTGACCCCAAAACAAAGCCAAAATAGTCATGGTCTCTCCTTTGTGGGGCTTACTGCTTAGAGGAGGTGACAGACATTAACCACGGAGTGACAGAGATAAATGTCAAGTTGCCATGATGAGACGTGCCGCAAGTTTGGGAAGCATGTGAGTGAATGTTTCGGGAGGTCTGACCTCGTCAGGGTGTGGGACGAGGCGGGAGAAGTGGGCAGAGGACAGGACTGCTTTCAATCTTGAGAGCAGTGGAGGGCCTAAGAACGTTTTAAACAATATTGGAGGAGTGGTGGTGGCATAATCAGACCTGCGTTTGTTTTTTGGGATTTTTTGGCTGC